GTCAGGAGAGGAGTAACAAGTTCATCAAAAACAGTAACAAACACATCATCTTCAACAGCGTTAACACCACGGCCGTGCTTGGGCATAGGAGCAGTGATAACATTTGGGATCTCAGGGGCGTCAAATTCAATTTCCTCTGCCTAGAGAAGGTCTTGCACCTTGTTTTTCAAAGCCTAGCAGTCGTTTGTATCATGACCTAGACTTTCTGAATGGTAAGGACAAGGAGCATTTGGGTTATAATGGGGAGAGGCAGTGTTGGGATTCTTCGGAGCTTCCCATAAGGTTACCAGATTAGATTTCAACAAATGTGGAAAGACTTGAGACAACGTCATATTTATTCGGGTAAACTGTCTTACCGGCCTTTCCGTTCTAGACTGATTATTCCTTTGTTGAGTAGGTGAAGGCTTAAAGATTATGACAGCCCCTACCGCTGGACGGCGTTCAATTCTGTCTTGATTCCTATGGTCATATGCAACATCGACCTCCATCTTTCCGATAAAAGGTTTCTTCATCGTGATCGAGGATGTATATCTTTGAATTTTGCCACTTTTTATACCCGATTCTACCCGTTCACTGGTCATGATTAATTTGGTAAATCCAGCTGAGGTGCTTCCGATCAGGTGTTTGAAGAATGGACCAGATAGCATGTCTAAGAACATATCCACCAATTCTCTGTCAGATATAGGGGTTTAGACCCTTCCTGCGAGATCTCGCCATTTTTAAGCATAGGTTTTGAAACCTTCACCTGTACCCAAAGATATGCCTTGAAATTTTGTCCGAGTTGGAGCTATGTCAGCATTATACTGGTATTGCTTGTAAAAAGCGGAAGCCATGTCTTCCCAATTGTAGATGTTGGTTGCTACCGGTAGAACCAATCTAACCGCGTCCTTGACAAGCTTTCTTGGAAGAAATGCACCCATAGATTCCTATCCGCAGTATGGGGTTGAATTTTCCTGACGTATGATCTCAAATGCAGCTTTAGATAAGAGACACCATCATATTTAGCGAAAGTGGGGACCTTGATTTTTTGTGGGGTGACAACCCCTAAGACAAGTCAGAGCTCTTCAAAATCCAACCCGGGTACCTTCTGGATCGCCATAGCATTGAGGTGATCTTCCAACTGTTTGTATTTATCGTCATCTGGAGGATACTACTCCTCAGAGTAATCAACCTCTTCTTCCTCTTCAGATTCTGGATGGTCAGTCACTTCCTTGTTTTTCCCTTCTTGATTATCCCCTTAACCCGATGATGTTGTGAAGTCTAAAGTCTATCTGGCTGGTCCTTTGAACCTTCTTCCCAGATTCAAAACACCGGTTGATTTCTTCGCTTTCTTCTTCTTTTCTTTGATCAGCAGAGTTTTCAAATCCTCTTGTCCTTTTGCTAGAGTCGAGAACATTTGTTGAAACTGAGCGTTCTAATCCCGAAGATCTTTTACTGTTTGTTCAATATCCATATCACTGAAATAAACAGTAGAAGGATAAGGGGACCCGTTGTAAGAAACCTGTTTGTGTTATGATGAATGAAGATGCATATGCAAATGATTTCAAGGAAATTATAGATTTAAATTTTCTTTAGACAAAAAAGGAACACACGTTATATTAATAAATCCAAGTTTGAGTACATCATGCCTCTTTGGGCTTACAATGAAAGAAATAAAATACAAAACTTCTAAGACAAAAAAGTTGAACGCATCCTCTTTAGTGCGATGTAGGCGTTCATACTCTGCTCTTCATGAAGCTGCTTGGTGAGTTCCATAACTTTATTCTCACTGGCATAGAATTGGGCTTCGAAAGTGTCTCGTTCTTCCTTAAGCTTCAATCCGTCTGTAGGTCTTCGAGAGAGGTGAGCATGTTGGGATAAATGACAATGTACGGAACATCTCCTTCAACAATAGGCTCTATGATAACTGGGAGAATGGAGGGGTAAGGCATTGCGAGACTCTGAGCGCGAGCCCGTACTCACCTAAGGTAAGGCTCAAAGGGAATGGAATTCTTATGCCCCAATGTCCTACTGTCCACCTTGCTTTCATAGTCGAACACCACACCTTGGATGAGCACGTCATATGGACCATCTCTTCGTGCGTACCTAAATTGTCGCAAAGCTAAGCAAGGGTTATAAGTGATTCCTCCCCTAATTCCAAGCAAAGGAACATTATGGAATTCCGCATAATGATTGATGATAGTAATGTCCTCCAAGGATCGAGAACACCAATAGATATCTGAATGCCTGAGTGACATCATCCTATTGGACCACCTCAAACCTTGCTCATTTTTCACAACGGATCGAGGAAGATGCAAAACAAACCATTTAGCCAATAGAGGAGTACAACACATGAGGGTTTCTCTTCTCTTCATGGTGCGAGCGTGGAGAGAATGCAATATATCTCCCAACAAAGTAGGCACCAGATTGTGAGATAAAAAGATTTTGACAGCATTCACATCTATAAGTTGGTCAGGATTTGGAAATGGTACCAACCCATAGATGAGAAGAGTCAAAATTTCTTTTAAAGCTTGTAAATCTAGGTTGTTCCAACAGTCTTGAGCTTTTTCCAGTAATAACTTGGCTAAGAACCCTTTGACACCACTTCTTGTTTCCCAATTAGCCGTGAAGTTTGATTGTTGTAAGTGTAAAGCTCGAGCAACCTCTTTAAGGCTTGGGTCTCTTTCAGTACCATTGAAAGGTAGTTGATCGAGGATAGGAATTCCCAAGAGCTAAGAGAACTCTTCCATAGTTGGTACAAGCTGGTAATCGGGGAAGGTAAAGCAATGGTGCAACAGGTCAAAAAACTGGAAAAGCACCTTCATCATATCTTCATCAAAGCTCGAGGTAACCAAGTTGAGAAGTAGTCCATGTCTTTTGGTGAACGGAGAATTCTCAGGGACCCATGACGCTAACTCCTTGATCTGAAAAGGTACTCGTACAAGGTTGACTTGGATTGTGTTCCTGCGAGTAGGAGTCATATCCTACAGAACAAAACAAAGATGAATCTAAAAATCCTTGAAATGGTTAGTCTAAAATGATATGGTATGATGTCATGATGTTATGTACAAGCATATGCACAAGTTAAATCAAATAAATCCTTAGGTTTAGGCTTGCATGAGATTTTATAGGTAAGTACCCTCTTGAAGTTTGGTTGGCTCAACCTGTCCTAGTAATAGTAATCGGGTTCTAAGGGATCTCAATATCACTGATTTGTCTTCTCGGGCATTGTTTCAGCGTAAGCCTCTTTCATGGTGACTGAAATATCCCAAAAAGCCAAACCTCAATGAATGTAGTATTGAGTATCTACCAACTTCGGACTGCACCAAAGCCGGTCATCTCACTATGTCCTAATGGCCAAGTTGGTCAAGTAAAGGTTCTAAAAGTCAGTTAGTGCTTCATGATATCTGTTGTACCCCAAAATTTTCCCTCTCACTTATCAAGAATTTGCTCACAAGATCTCCTTTGGCTTAAGACTGCACTAGGGTTGATCAGCTAAAGACACCTCCTTAAGTACTGATGACCAAAATTAGGGTTTGAGATTGCACAAGGATATTTGAACTTCCAATGCCCCATATGACTTTCATGGATCATCATGGACCCTCAAGATTACTCATGTCAAGTTTCAAGCTTTATCACACTTTTGCTCAGTCAATTGAGCAGTTGACCTAAAAATCAGTTGTATTGGGGAAAAAGTTAACTATGACCAATTTACAGTCAAACTTCATAATTTTTTATCCACATCAACATTTTAAACTCATATGTATCATTTGATCAAGTTTGGACCATAATTCCTCAAGAAATTTGATCAAATCCTCAAAAGGGCAAAATGGTCAAAATTAGGGTTTTGACTGGGAAAGGGCAATTTCTGATTTTTGACCTAGCAAATGTTCAATTGGTTTAAGGCATGATATCAAGAGTCCAGTTGTATCATTTTGACCTAATGACATGGCTCAAAACATTTCTCAATTCCAATGGATTGACAGATGAATTTTTAGTCAACTGATCAAAAGTCAACTGTATACTGAAAAGTCAAACTTTGACTTTTTGATCAAATTCAAATGTCAAAGATCACAATTCATCAAAACATGTCAAAATATGAAACTTATTCATAAAGTGGTCCAAAATTCAAGATTTCATTTTGAAAAGTTAAAATTTCTAAACTTAGAAATTTTTTTAAGTGTTGGAAATTTCTTATTTTTTCACAACTTTGAACAAAATTTTCACCATGATGCAAGCTGAGTCAAGAGAAACTTCCAACATGAAAGTTGTAGATCTCCATGAAGTCTACAACTTTTCTTTACGCAACTCCTTCCAAAAGTGCTTGGATCTCAAGTTATAATTTTAAGAACACATGGTCATGAAACAAAACACTTTGTGAAATTTTTCCCTAATTTTTCAGGATTTTGACCCAACTTCATGGCACTTTTTCATATAGTTCCAAGGGGGATCTTTAAAAGTTATTCAAATATCACTACTAAAAAAATGACATTTGAGAAAATGTTTTTACATCAGGTATAAAAATATACGATGTAAAAAATAAAATTAAAAACATTTTAAATCAGGTATTTATTTGCAATGATATAAATAATATGAAAAAAATATTTTTCGCTATCTATTACATCGGGCCATTTAATCCACCGATGTAAAAGGTTTCGTGAAAAAAATACGGTGGCAGTTTTGTAAATAACAAACCAGGTGGCAGAATTGTAAATAAAAAACTGGCTAGATATTACATTGGTTCCTACAATCCACCAATGTAAAAAAGTCTGTGGCAGATTGGTAATATAAAAAATAGGCTAAACCTTACATCGGGCCATTTATTCCACCGATGTAAAAAACATCAAAAACCTTACATCGGGCCATTCGTTAAACCGATGTAAAAAACATCAGCGCCCGAACCCTTACATCGGGCAACTGCTTGCACCGATGTAAAAAACATAACCGCCCGAACCCTTACATCGGGCCAATGCCTGCACCGATGTAAAAATTAATATATATAATGTTGAAATAACCCCTAAATGCAAATTATTTCATTACTGTTCAACTTCTCTGTCCCACGAACGCACCCTTGCCGCTACTCCGCCCGTCTCGCCTACACCGTTCCGCCCATCTCGCCTACGCCGCTCCTCACAGATCCACCGTCTCCTTGCAGATCCGCCGCCGGCTGCACGAAGACGAAGACGTTTCCCGCATTATACCCAAGATCTTGGACAGTATATGAGGGTGAGCTACGCTAATTCACACACTTCCAACTCCATTACCGTATTTATAAATTATACTGCATTGCATCTCTTACCTTGATCATCTCTATTGTTCACATGCAGAACCTGATCCAGCATTGAAAATAGTTTGTCGCCAGATCTCATCTGTTATACCCCATAACTACAAGGAGAGTAGTTATCCTGTATGCTTTGTTAATTTACTTAGAGGAATAAACAAAACAAAAAATTATAGAAAAACATTGCATTAGCATCTGATATTCTGGTGTGTTTCTGATGCAACTCCGAAATTGGAAATATAGTTTGAAGCTTCGTTTCCAAATCAGTTAGAAACGAGATTATCCCTATATCTACTATTCTACTTTAGTGTATTGAGGTTGGCCTCTCCCCTCGTCTATCCTGTTAAGACTGGTTTTGATATGAAAAATGCCGGTGTTAGAAACTGGTTCTGATATGAATAAACACCGGGAAATGCTACTCTTTAAGAGTTACATACAATACAAGATAGTACTCTAACTGTCACAAACAACCCCTAGGAATTAGAGAGCCTATTGTCGCCCAACCCAGCCAACATACAGAATACCCAATCCCCTCCCTTTTCCTTTCAGCCTATATTTATAACTATTAACTTTTTTCAGCAGTTTTTGACTTCCTGCAGATGTTAGACAGCAGTTACTGCAAATTCAACATTTAACAATAATAAAATAATTTGCCTACTAGTAAAACATAATTTCTGTTGCAGCATTAACTTGATTTATATGCTTCTTTCTGACATAAGTCCTAGTGATAAGAGGCCTTTTACTAACACATCAATTGTTAGTTTGTGTTTAAAACAATTAAATTTTATTGCAATTGTTGAGTTATTGTGATGTGAAGTCATGTGGTTAGGACTTAGAAACTTTCTTTGTCTATTACTAGCAATAACAACCAAATTACGAGTCCTTGGCTTTTTTTCTTTTTTCATTGAAACTGAATGTTATGAACAATGACACCCCTTTAATTTCTGGAAGCAAGTTTTAGCTATTATCTGAACTGGACTTTAAGATAAACTTAGCTTTTTGAGTTATTATGTCTATAAAATTGAGCATATGTATTCTACTGAGTTTCTCAGCTGGTTTTGGGATGATCAAGAATTATTATCACCTATATGATATACCGATGAATCATACAAAGACATCTTTTAACCCATATGTGTATTAAAGATGTCTTTACATGTTTGATTTTTCTTGTTTCTACATTTGTTCTGTGTGGCTTGTTATATTGATGATGGAGCATGGGTTTGATAATTGTTAATGATGAGGGACTAGTTATTATGGTAACAAAAGTCATGTTTGTCTCTCTTCATTTATGCTATTTGTTTATGACATTTTGTTCTTTTTTCTCTTCTAGGTATCTTTTCTCGTACATGATGAATGTGTTGTTGGGTTTGTGATGAATGTATCAACTAATAAGTAGCAATTATTTGATTATGCTGCTAAACTAGAGTTTGAAGTGTCACTGTTGTTACTACCGAAGAACAATTATTTTAATCATTATTGTTTCTATGGTCTATTTATCTAATAAACCCCACCACTTCAACGTGTACATAATATAGCCATTAAACTAGAAATTTGAGATAAGCAAGCTGTGGTAATTTACTCATAACTTTTTTTTTGGTTACGTTTATGAAGTTAAAATGTGTGTGATTGTAGATTTTCTCCAACTACAATTTTTCCCCTTAATGACAGTGGCTTTGAAGAACTCCTTAAATTATTGATACTTGAATCATTAGTCTGTATTGTATCTATAAATAACTATCGAGTATTTAGCTGCTGATTTAAATAGAAGAATTCTGATAATCTGATGGAAGATTCTTGTCCAGGGAATATATCAGGTGTGATGATTTTTGTTGATACAAGTGGAGAATCCTTAAGGAAAATTCAAAATTTTGGGGTAAGCTTTTGGTTTTCTCTCTTTTTTATTAATGTGTTTTGTATTCTTCGAATACCACTTCCCAGCATAATGATTCCTTTGTTTATTCTTCATATCCATATCAGTTTCGAAAGCTTATATTAGTTGGTTCTCAGAGATTTAATTTTTTTAAGCCGATTGAAAGTTTATTCAAATAATAAATACTGCCTCAAAAGATTTCACCTTGCTTTTCACATGGGTTGTAAGTGAAATGTTTTTTTTGCTGGCTCTTTACTCTTACAGTATGTTTCTTGAGGTATTGAGTGCAACCAATTTGTTGTGTACATTCAGAATTCTATTGGAGGGCAATCTGAATTTACTGGTCATCACTTCAACTCAAAGATAAAGTAAGAAAATTGCCTGTTGGTTTACAATCTACATGAAGATGTTCCCATTTGATTGCTTTCCCCATCCCCATACCTTGCCTTTACTTCATTCTAACATTCAAGATACATATTACCTCTTGCTAGGAGGCCTGATGGCGTGCATGGTGTGCTTCTACATCACAAGTAACTCTCTAACTTGTTAATACACTTTTAGGCAATGGATGAAAAATTAACTGATACATGCATCTACAGGACTGCAAATGAGCAATCCCTGCTCACATTTGCAATTGCAGCAGAAAAGACTGAATATGTTCATATCTCAGAATGCCCTGTCTTTGTTATAGCCGGTTCTCACAAAGGCATCTCCGCGAAGGACATGTGGCATGAAGTTAAATAGGTTATGGACCTGCTTTCAGATTTTATTGATCTTTGTTTTTTTGAAATGTCTATGTTCGGTGTTATTACCATCAAGTTATTCATTCTTTATTCAGGTCGTGTTGCCCCATATAAGCTATCACTATGCTCCAAGCATTTTATAACACAAGTACTTGAAGTTTCCTTTATTTCATTTTCCTTTTGTTGCATGCCTGATTTCTTCTTATCAGTTATCATGACAATGATCAATACCTGACTCTCTTTGAACACCACTCTTTCATCATATTTTAAGATTAAAGAATCTTACCTCTTGGACTGTATTTATTAATTTTACACACCACGCCACATGTTCATTGGTAGTAATAGTATTGGTCACCGCAACTATGGATTTACATATGCTGATACTTATGTTGGAATCATATTTGCTAATCAAAAGATGAGGTAACTTAAGGAACTCATTCGCCGCAATCCACTTTATGTGATCTCTAGCCCATTGTCAATGTGACTGAAACATCATTTACTAGCATATTATGTTTGTAGAAACTTAGCACTTTAAGTTAACTGACTTTCCAAGGGTGGACAGGTTGGAGACCTAAATACTGTCAAGAAACAGAAGTTTGTTTTAATATTACTTCCAGTTCATGGTTTAATCTCCACCGGTGGACAGTTTAAGATAGGGATGGCTGAGCTGATTAAATGAAAATCATACAATATGTGCATCCAAAAAGGCATAAGGTAGAGACTAAATATGTTGTTCAGGGAACGTATTTCACTAAACTGAATGGTGGTACTCATTTTCTTTTCAACATGGGTCATTTGACAGCTGAATAAAGTAGTATAAATACACATGGGCTAAAAGCACTATCATCATCCTTTCCTCTTCACACTTGTACTATTACTGGCAATTGTTAATTAGCTAGTAATAGCCATGGCTGCAACTTGTGACAAGGGATTTGCAGATAGTTATATGATTTTAAATCAAGAAGAGGCTCATTTCTTTGATATTATTCATGTTTTATTTTCCCGTAATATTGGACATAGAAAATTTGTGGACAGTAATGCTGAGGGAGATGTTGAGGGAAGTTTCAGAGGTAGATGGCTTATATTTATCTCTGTTGTTCTACAGAAGTTCTTGATGTTCATTGCTAAACCACTTGCTAAGTTGGGAACTTGTGTAGAGATGTTAGATAATCTCATTGCTCTTAACGGAGGCATCATCATGATCATAATTAACTTTCTCTCTGGTGAGTTCTTCTCTGATTTGTAGTTAATTTAATTAATTATCTTATTTGGTTGGACTCTATTGAAAAAAAATTCAAATCTCATGTTGACATAGATATAGGATTGGATAAATTTTATATTTGATAGAATTTTTTTTTATAAGTCGATTTTATAAAATAAATTAAATCAAACTCTAATTCTAATATATATATATATATATATATATATATATATATATATATATATATATATATATATATATATATATATATATATATATATATATATATATATATATATATATATATATATATATATATATATATATATATATATATATCAGAATTAGATTAAGAATCATTTATGTTTTACTGGAACGTCGGTGCCTTCAGAACCAGGATCATCCATTGGAGCAACTATTGCAGCAACTGTGACTATTCCACCTGATGCTCAACGCAATGTGACATTTTCATTGGCATGGGACAGCCCTGAAGTGATGTTCCCTAGAGGACGGGTTTATAACAAGTTAGTGGTAGAAAACGTGAATAAGAAGGTTTCTTGTTTAAAGACCATACAAAACTAATGAAACTTGATTATCAGGCGTTATACCAAATTTTATGGTACTAAAGGAGATTCTGCTGCAGATATTGCACATGATGCTATTATTGATAATCTTCTTTTATGAAATTCATTAGCTTTTGTACCTATAAAGTGGAGATTGCATCTAGCATAATTATATCAATAGATAGGCTGTAAAGAGGCAGACTATATTTATTTAAATTTTTATGCCAAATTTAGATGAAGTTTCCACCATATTGACAAAACCGTGCAGAGGCATACTTATTTGTGAATAATTATTATATCAATTGGTATACTTTTAAGAGGCAGGCTATATTTATATTTTTCGGGATGTATGAGTCCTTCACATGTTGTTACAAAATAAAATTTGTTAGAATTTGTTAAATCAATTGATGAGCATTACTCATGACTCATGTAAAATTTATTTAATTATTTATGTATTTAATATTTTAATTTTGAAACTTAAACAGTTTATTTAATTATTTATGTATTTAATATTTTAATATGAAAAAATGGGTACAAATTATTTTTGTACAGGGAAACATCCAGAAAATAAATAATTAATTTTAAAAAAATTTCTTACATTTTACATCCGTTATTACTCCCAACTGATGTAAAAACTTTCAAAACTGTATATATTACACCGGGTTTAGATTATAACCGACGTAAAAAAAGGACTTTTTACATCGGTCCACACGTTTAACCGATGTAAAAAGTTGCGTCAATTTTTTTAAAATAATGTTATAATTGTTTTTTACATCATTCTTAGATCACAACCGATGTAAAAAGGGACTTTTTACATCGGTCCACACGTTTAACCGATGTAAAAAGTTGCGTCAATTTTTTTAAAATAATGTTATAATTGTTTTTTACATCAGTCTTAGATCACAACCAATGTAAAAAAGGGACTTTTTACATCGGACCCAAAACCGATGTAAAAAGTACCTGATTTACTATATCGCCTGACTTTACATCAGACCCAGAACCGATGTAAAAAGTCAGTTTCACCCGATGTAAAAAGTCATTTCTGCACTAGTGTATGGGTTGTAGAGAACATTTCAAGCTTTCCAAAATTTCCAAGAACTCCTTGAGATCATTTTTGAGTAGGGAGAATCGAAGAGATGAAGTTAGGGTTTTATCACTTGAATTACAAGTCATTTTGTGATGAACAAGTTCAAAATTCAAAGTTATGCTGCATAACCTCTACTTTGCAGGCCTCAAACTTGTGAGGAAATCCATAATTAATTGCTTTCACAGCTGTTAGAGGTCTCATTTCAAGCATTCAATGCAAGGCCATGCTTTATATCCATTTTGGGAAGAAAGTGCACATTGCCATTTTGATAAAGTGACTTTTTGCATAGAACTTGTTCTTGAGCCTTGCACTTGTTCTCTTCTGATCATACATGTGTCATAACACAAGAGAAATGGTTTAGACACTTACAATCACCCAGCCCATGCTTTTACTACACATTGAAATTTGGTTTCCCACTTTTCTTGAAAATCAAGTAACATAGCTAGTAGCTTGTAACTTGTACTTCTGACTTGCCAAACCACTCAAGACTCTTTGCTTATAGATACACAAGCCATTTTCCATAAAACACACGCATACTTGACCCCTAAAAACACCAAGAGCTCAGAACTGCCTCACATACCTCAATTGTTGCCCAACCTGACCAAAAGTTTGAAACTCACATCTCCCTTGCGCGTTTTCAAGCCTTTTGGTTCGTAAAGTTTATAAACATCATTTAGAACTCATTCCACACTCTGTTACAAGACTGTAGAACCATTATCACCATCCTCCATTTTAACAAAAACAGATCTTTGCACTTGGACTTCTCCAGAACTCCTTAGGTACTTTCAGCTCAAGCTAAGCATCCCATTAGCTTCCTGGGAACTTGAGGAAGCTAACCCAATCATTGGAACTCACTGAAAGCTTCTCAAACTCCAAACCTGATACCATATTGCAAGGTAAGTTTTCTAACTTTGGAACTTTTCATACAGGCATCATCAATGATTTATTTGTGAATTAAACATGTAGATATCATTGCTCTAAAGCTAACCATGTCCATAGTTTTCATTAATTTTGCTTGAGCTTAGAGAATTTTAAGATTGAAGTTTATGAGATTTTTAGGGTTCAGAATAGGGACATTAAAATTCATGCTTATCTTTGATCTATAATTATTTTGCTTTGCATTTCTGAAGTCGTGAGGAAATTTTCTACAAGTTTCATGTTTACAGTTTTCATTTTTGTTGAGATTTGAACAAGATATGGAGGCTCTGGCTGGGCGAGAGGTTGAAGATAAAGTTGGCCTCAGGAACATGTTTGCCATATATATTTATTGTTTTGATTATATAAACAGATGTATAGCCACCCCAGTGGTAGAAGCGCATGCTTGTGACTTGAGGGTCCTGGGTTCGAGCCCCAATGGTACCCTTTTGGATTTTTTTCTTCATTTTTTTCATACATTCTGACTTTTTGGCATGCGCTGTGTAGCACCCCAATTCTACCCCGGCAAATTATATAAATAAATCAGCGTTATAAAATTCAATCATTTAAAAAAATGGGGACGTCACAAATTCTTCTATAAAAAATTCATTGCATTCATCGTGGATATATAACACTTTCAAAACATCGGATGAACCATCATAACATCTTTAATTAAATAACTCAACATCTACGCAGCGTAATTCTCAATAACAATTTTATCATCAATACAACAACTTCAAAACAACACAATTTAATAATAATCAATAATAAAAAACAACAAGCGTTTATCCCCCCGAGTGTTACATATCAGAGCAATGACACCGAATCGAACTACTGAAGGTATACAGCCTTCACTCTCGATTACCTGCACGTTACCAACATAATGGCAACATTCAAACAGAAGGGGTGAGATATCTAACAATATAATAAAGCGCATGATAATTAATATATTAAATTAGATCACATAACATCACCACTTCTCATCTCATAATCAACAATAATAATACATTCACAGCATCATCACACACTTATTTATGCAATCATATAATGTGACTCAATACTATGCAAATGCATGTGGTACCATTGGAGCAGAACTCCCATCTCAAAAATTTGCCAATTAATAGAGGCATCAACAAGGCATAGCCTTCATCTCAAAATTCGCCAATACAGGTGTGATACGGTGGGAGAACTGACTTGGGTTTTGCGTTTGTTTTCGCAAATGTTTCGGTTGAGCA